TTACAATTTTAATTTTTTCAATTTTGGGAGAAACCAATGGAATTGGTATCCTGAAATTTGGAAATAAGATTACTATGGGATTCAAGGACTGAGGAATGTAGGTAGTTTTGGAAATTCGAAAGTATTTGTAATAAATGGTACTAAATTTAGTAGAATTTGAAATTAAGTCGACCAATAGAGCTTGTATCCTGAAAATTGGAAATAAGATTACCTTCAGAGGGTAGGACTGGGGTATGTAGGTAGTTTTGGGAATTCGTACTTATGTGTACTAAATGATACTAAATTCGGTACAATATTTTTGTGTGTGTTGAAATACTGAAATTTGAAAATAAAATTTCTACTGGACTATATGATGTAGAAAATTTTGAATAATTTGTACTTAAGAGTATTAAATGGTACTAAATTTGTTACAATTTTAATTTTTTCAATTTTGAGGAACCAGTAGAATTGGAATCCTTAAATTTGGAAATAAGATTACTATGTCATTCAAGGACTGAGGAATGTAGGTAGTTTTGGAAATTCGTACTTTTGTATACTAAATGGTACTAAATTTGGTACAATTTGAATTTAAGTCGACCAATAGAGCTTGTATCCTGAAAATTGGAAATAAGATTACCTTCAGAGGGTAGGACTGGGGTATGTAGGTAGTTTTGGAAATTTGTACTTATGTGTACTAAATGGCACTAAATTTGGTACAATTTTTTTGGGTGAACCAGAAGTGTTGAAATACTGAAATTTGGAAATAAAATTTCTACTGGACAGTATGATGTAGAAAGCTATAAAAAATTTGTAATTAAGTGTACTAAATGGTACTAAATTCGTTACAATTTCCATTTTGGAGAACCGATAGAGTTGGAATCCCGAAATTTGGAAATAAGATTACTATGGGATTCAAGTACTGGGGAATGTAGGTAGTTTTGGAAATTCGTACTTATGTGTACTAAATGGTACTAAATTTTGTACAATTTTTTTGGGTGAACCAGAAGTGTTGAAATACTGAAATTTAAAAATAAAATATCTACTGGACTGTATGATGTAGAAAGTTATGAAAAAATTGTACTTAAGTGTTCTAAATGGTACTAAATTCGTTACAATTTTGAAGAGCCGATAGAGTTGGTATCCTGAAATTTGGAAATAAGATTACTATGGGATTCATGGACTGAGGAATGTACGTAGTTTTGGAAATTCTAATTTATTTGTACCAAATAGTACTAAATTTGTACAATTTGGATTTGTGTGAACCAACAGAGCTGATATCCTGAAAAATTGGAAATAAGATTAGTGTCGGAGTGTAGTATTGGGATATGTAGGTAGTTTTGCATATTCATGGATATTCAAAATGTTGTCCTTTTGTGTGGGAGGTACCAGAAGGAGTGGACCGATATAAGCCACCTTAATAGCATATCTTGTAGTAGTAGAAATATTGGGATGTGCGAAATTGGAGTGGAATCGGGTGCTTATTTTGGATTTTATAATCGTTTTCGTTATTCATAACGTTAACCCTTTGTGGGGGAGATACCAGAAGGAGTGGTCCGATCTCTATCATCTTTATAACAGATCTTGTTTTCATAGAAATTTTGAGATGCGCCAAGTCCGAATGGAATCGGATGTTGATTTCGCGTTATATAAGCTTCATGGTTATTCAAAATTTTGACCCTTTGTGCGGGAGGTACTAGAAGGAGTGGACCGATATATTCCATCTTCAGAGCAGATCTTGTGTTGATGGAAATATTGAGATGTGCCAAGTCTGAATAGAATCGGATGTAAATTTCCCGTTTCATGGGTACTCAAAATTTTGACCCTCTGTGGGGGAGGTATTAAAAGAAGTGGACCTATAGTAGAAATAATGGGATCTGTGAAATATGAAGAGAACCGGATGCTTATTTCGGTTTTTATAATCGTTTTGGTTATTCAGATTTTTGACCTTTTGTGGGGAGATGCCAGCAGGAATGGTCCGATCTCTACCATCATTATAACAGATTTTGTTCTAAAGGAAATATTGAGATGTACCAAGTCTGAATGGAATCGGATATAAGTTTAGGGTTTTATGAGCTACATGGATATACAAAATTTTGACAATTTGTGCGGGAGGTACCAGAAGGGGTGGACCTATAACCTCCATCAGATTTGGTGTTAGTAGAAATAATGGCATGTGTGAAATATGAAGATCGTTTTGGTTATTCAGAATTTTGACCTTTTGTGAGGGAGGTACCCCAAGAAATGGCCGGATCTCTACCATCTTTATAACAGATCTTATGTTGATAGAAATATTGAGATATGACAAGTCTGAATGGAATCGGATATCAATTTCAAATTTTATGAGCTTCAAAATTTTTATCCTTTGTGGGGGAGGTCCAAGGGACTGATACATCCCATCTTCACAGCAGATCTTGTGTTAGTGGAAATAATGGGATGTGTGAAATATGAAGAGAACCGGATGAATATTTCGAATTTTATAATCGTTTTGGTTCTTCAAAACTTTGACCCTTTGTGGGGCAGGTACCAGAAGGAATCGTCCGATCTCGATTGTCATTAGAACAGATAATAAAATTATTAAAAATTGTGGGGGAGGTACTTGATGAAGTGGACCGATATTGTCAATTTTCGCACCTGATCTAGCACTGATGCAAATATTAGAATTTGCAAAGTTGGAGCTAATTCGGGTTATCTGTTCTCTTTCTGTGCAGTAGCATTTCGACCCATCTTCACAAAAGATCTTGTGTTGGTAGAAATAATGGCATGTGTGAAATATGAAGATAACCGGCTGCTTATTTCGGATTTTATAATCGTGTTGGTTATTCGAAATCTTGACACTTTGTGCGGGAGGTACCAAAAGGAGTGGACCACTATTTCTCATCTTTACACCAGACCTTGGGCTATTAAAAATATTGTAATGTGTGTAATTTGAAGATAATCTGAAACTTACATCACATTTTATGAGATTTGAAATGTTGAAAATGTTGACCTTTTGCGGGGAGGTACTTGATGAAGTAGATCGATATTGTTCATTTTCCCATCGATATTGTCCATTTTCGCACCTAACCTAGCACTGATACAAATATTAGGATTTTGAAAATAGATCAAAATCGGATTATCCTTTTTCCTTCTATGCGGTAAAAGATTGTTTTGAAAATTTTCCATCTATTGTGGGGGATGTTCCAGAAGGAGTCGACCTACAACCTCCACCTTCACAGCAGATCTTGTGTTAGTAAAAATAATGGGATGCGTGTATATGAAGAGAACCGGATGCTATTCGGATTTTATAATCATTTTGGTTACTCAGAATTTTGACCTTTTGTGGGAGAGATACCAGAAGGAGTGGTGCTATCTCTACCATCTTTATAACAGATCTTGTTTTTATGGAAATATGGAGATTTACCAAGTCTGAATGGAAGCGGATGTTAATTTCAGTTGTGGGGGAGTTACCAGTAGAAGTGGACCGATATGTCACATCTTTAAAGCAGATTTTGTGTTAGTAGACATAATGGGATCCGTAAAATATGAAGAGAACCGGACTATTATTTTGGATTTTATAATCGTTTTGTAATTCAAAACTTTGACCCTTTGTTGGGGAGATACATAATGGAGAGGACCGATAGTGGCCATTTTCGCATTGATGGAGATATTAGGATTTGGAGAAAATTCGGATTATCCTTTCTCTTTCTGTGCAGTAAAATATTTTTTTTTTAAATTTTGACCTTTTGTGGGGAAAGCAGTAGGCCAATATTGCCCATCTCCGAACTCGATCTAAATTTGATAATAATATTACGATGTAGCAAGTTTGGTCCAAATCGGATACTCTCTTCGAGAGTTATCATGAGCACCAACCTGTCAGACAGACGGATGGACGAACATCGCAAGATCGATTATATCCTGAAATGGATTTGGTTCAAAGAGACCTAGGGTCTAAAACAGTTATTTCGATGAGACACGTTTTGGCCGTATCAAATGACATATACCCTCTGTAGTCATATGGCTGAGGGTATAAAAATCGATTTTTATTCTAACTATTTTTTTCCACCTGACCTCTTAAACGCGAATATATTAGATTCGTTCTTTTTAGTAGCCTCTGGAAGAAACTAAATTTTCATAGAATAGCACCAAGAAAAAAATCCTCAATGAAAAAATCCTCAAAACCAAAATTTGCTTAACGACAACTTGCACGCTTAACCTGTCTAAAGAAGATTTATAAAATGTCAAACTATTTGTTTGTTTGTTTGTTTGTCGTGTTGTGTCGTCGTCAGGAAAATAAAACGACAATTTTCGGTTAAGAAGAAGAAGAAAAAAATTGCAATTATGGTGTTGTTGTTTTTGTTGGTGGAGGTAGGTGCTGATGCTGGTGGTGATTTGTTGTTTTACAAGAAATTATTGTTGTATTTTTTTTTCCATTTTTTTTTCGTCAATTGGTATTCAACAAATACTGGTGTTTCCCCAACCAAATTGAAATCGAGTTGAGCAGAAGAAGCAGAAGTGGAGAGAAAAAAAAAATAAAACAAACCAGTCTTTTAGGGTGTGCTTTTTTTGAATTCCCCTCCAACGGTTCACTCGTCTGCACGTCCGTCCGATCATTTGTCGCCTTTTCGGTTGCTTCTATTCAAACAAATGAAATGTAAGCAATTTTAAATGCTCTGACAGTAATTTTTAGTTGCAGTTGTTGTTTTTCTTATTTCTTATTTTTTTAATTTAAATTTTGCCCTGCTCACCCCTTCTCCTCCTTTTCCATTTGCTTGATATTGATGATGGTGATGGCGGTGTTAATGTCTAAGGCGTTGCTGCAACTCTGGCTGGCATTCTGCTGCTGCTGTGAGCTCTGCCGGCTTGGCGCACCGACAGGCGGCAAAACAACTTGTAGTGAATATCCAATACCAGCCAGCTGCTGCCGCGGCCGACCACAAAGCGCTGAAGCAGAGACCGCGTAGCAAAGCAAACCGAAGAAAAAAAAAAACGAAATATGTTTTCAAGACATAAAACATACAAATTGTTTTCTTGAGTCTCTAGTCGAACCATCAGCCATTAGTCGTTGTTAAGAAGTTGTGCTAAGCTAACACGCTTTACAAGCTTTAAGGTCCAAGCGTTAACATTAAGTGATTGGGAATAAAAGTTAAATCAGAAAAAAAAGTTAACATCCAAAATATATATTTTTTTGAAACAAAGAAAATATATATCGATCAAATCAAATCAATTCCCTTTAAGTGATTCCAAGTGATTTGAGTTCAACACCAAAAAAATAACAAAGAAAAAATAAACCTTCCCGAAGGCTGATATTTTTAATACATTTTTTTCAAACAAAGGAATATAACTTCAAACACTAAAACAAAATGAAATTCTTTAACATGTGAGTGTCAAAAAAAATTTAAAAATAATTTTAAATAATAAAATAAAAAAATAGTTTTAAGTTTAAATTAAATGAACTTTTAGACTCAAGTTTGTGTCTTAAGTCTTTTGTTTTCTAAGTGGAAAATATATTATCCGAATCGACTTGAGGGAATATCAATTATGAAATTGTGGCTAATAAAGGAAAATATGAATGGAAATGAAATCCCCAAAAATTCCCTCTTCCCTCAACTATTTCCCCTCTTCCCCATTTAACATTTTTGCACTAATTTGTCACTTGTAAATCCGGAATAATGATCCTTTTTACTGATATTCCAGAATTTTAAATTTCAAATAGTTCTAATATCAAATAATTCATATATTCCCCTTCCCTCTTAGATATTTTAGGGTATTGAGTAAATTTCAAATATTCCAGAATTTAGAATTTCCAAGATTTCTCATCTCAAAAAAAAAAAAAAAAATCCCCTTCCCTCTTAGATTTTTTTGTGCATTGAGAAAAATTGCATTTTTGGCATTGAGAAAAATTTCAAAAATTCCGGAATTTTAGAGATTCAAGTTTTTCCACATTGAAGATTTTTTCATATATTCCCCTAGATATTTTTGAGCAATGAGAAAATTCCCAAATTTTCCAATATAATATTAAATAAATAGAAATCCCTAAAAATTCCACTCTTTCCCTTAACTATTTTCCCTCTTCCCCCACTCCTCCCCTATTAAATGTTTTGGGATGAATTTCTCACTTGTAAATCCGGTATAATGATCCTTTTTACTGATATTCCAGAGTTCTGCATTTCCAAGTTTTCCCATTAAAAAAAAAAAAATAAATAAAAATATATCCCCCTTGTCTCTTAGATTTTTTTGGGCATTGAAAAAATTTCAAAAATTCCAGAATTTTAAAATTCCAAATTTTCCCACATTGAAGAATTCATATATTCATTCCCCTTGCCTCCTGGGTGTTTTTGAACAGTGAGAAAATTCCAAAAATTTCCAAGATATTATTAAATAAATTGAAATCCCCAAATCCCCTCCCACATTAAAAATTTTGGAATGAAATTATCACTTGTAAATCCAGTATAAAGATCCTTATTACTGATATTCCAGTATATTGAAATCCCAAGTTTTCCCGTCTCAAAAAAAACCCTCTTTCTCATATATATTTTTGAGTATTGAGAAAATTCCAAAAAATCCAGAATTTTAAATTTCCAACTTTTCCCATTTGAAACAATTCATATATTCCCCTTGCCTCTTAAATATTTTTTGGGCATTGAGAAAATTTTTAAAATTCCAGAATTTTAAATTTACAAGTTTCCCATTATTGAAGATTTTTTCATATATTCCCCTTGCCTCCTAAATATTTTTAAACAATGAAAAAATTCCAAAATTTTCCAAGATACTACTAAATAAGGTAGATGTGAGAAAGAAGTGGCATATTTCGAGGTTTTAATATTTTGTTTTCTGGCACACGAAAAAAATTTCCAAATCGATTATTATATGCTTTGTTCCATAATATACTAGTTTTGCATTTTTTTCGATATCTTAAGGAAAAATCGGTTACTGTAGTAAAAAATTTTTACATTCTTTAATTTTAGTGTAGAAAAATATTAAATAATATTAATGTTTTTGCAGAGATTTTTTCGGAGGTTATTTTTTAATCTTAAAAAAACTTAAAACAAAGGGTCTAAATTTTTAACAGAAAAAAAATTACAATTTTGTTCAAACATTGCAAATCCCAATATTTTTGTCAGAGCCCTTCTGGTACCTCCACACCAAAGGGTGAAAATATGGAATAATTATAAGTCTTATAAAACGTAAAATAAAAGTGCGATGGTCCTCAAATTTCGTACATCCAAATATTTTCATTAATACAAAATCTGGCAAGAAAAACGAATAGAACGGACCACTCCTTCTGGTACCTCCCCTACAAAAAAATAAAATTTTCACAGAAAATATTCTCCAAACTTTGCAGATCCTAATATTTATATCAGTGCTACGTCAGATGCGAAAATTGACAATATCGGCCTATTCAATCATATACCTCCCCCACAAAGGGTCAATATTTGGAATAATTATAACACTTAGAAAAAGTGAAATAAAAGTCCGATTATCCTCAAATTTCTCACTTCCCTATATTTTTGTTAACACAAGATCTGCAATAAAACTAGGATGTATCAGTCCAATCCTTCTGGTACCTCCCCCACAAAGAGGTTAACATTTTAAATAATCATGAAGCTCATAAAACCTGAAATGAGCATTTGATTCTTTTAAAATTCTTTCATATTTAACAAATCTCAATAGTTCTATAAGCACAAGATAAGGTGTGAAGATGGAATATATCGAGGCACTCGTTCTGGTACAACGGGTCGAAATTTTGAATAATTATATCAAAAATCATCAAAATCTCTTAAAATTTTACACATTCCAAAATTTTTTTACTACACAAGATCTGAAGTGAAGTTGATAGATATCGGCCTACCCCCTTTGGTAAAAATTAATTAATTAAAAAAAAAAAATGAGGGAAAATATTTTATTTCATGAATACCTCTGCAGTTAATGATGCCCTATCTGAGACCCAGGGTCCTTTGCGTATCCGCCTTTCTTTCTGACATCTAAAATGTACCTAGATATAATGTCCATAATATCATTTTGATTATTCTGAGGGGCTCAAATGACAGATTATATGAGACATTTTTTGACTCCTTTTCTCCCCAACCTGCTTTCCATTACACCTATTCTCATCTCAAGCATGGATGAAAATTTATATCTTATGATATTTTCTTATAAATTCTATTTATTTCTTTTATTCCATAAAAGTCCACGCCACGATAACAAGTTGCAATGATGCAATATTTAACCTTTAACTGTAAACAACAAAAGAAAAAAATAATAAAAACAAAAAAACACAACGCTCAATGCAAACACGTTCGTCATTTAAAGACAAATTTCCTCGATATAATAAAGCAAAAAGAAACTACAACAGCACAATAAATTAGAAGAAAAAAAGTTCGCCACTCTAGTCTATCACGAGGAAAAAAACGAGTTAAGAGGAGAAAAAAATCAACAAAGTAAGAAAACTCTAAACAGCCAACGAAAAAAACGGCAAACTTGAATACAATGGAATCTTCTAGTATGGGAAAATGACCCTTGTCCTTTTAAAGTTTGTTCGGCATTCTTATTGGATGACGATAATGTATTTAAAACAAAAGAAAAAAAACTTAAAATAAAACGTGTTAAAGACATATTATATGAATGAGTTTATATTCAGAAATAGTTAATTGAATTCATTTATATTTAGAGTTCCAATACCTATCTCTGTATAGAACTGAGTGAAGTTTTAGCTAATAATTTGGGGAGTTAATAAAGATGGGGTAAAGTGCCGGAGCCTCTACGTAGAAAAGCTGAATATGATAGGGAGTCTATAAAAATAAGTTAAATAACCATAAAGTGTATGTAGATGAGCTACAATGCCGGAGATTTTATAAAGATATACCGACCACAGTGTAATTTCTATCACAAGACTTGTTTGAGAAAGCACTTTAAAATCATTTTCATATTTGTTTATAACATTATTCAACATTTGAAATTTTTCTGCTTTCGTTAAGCTTTACAAAAAGCCTTCGATGTCCAAAATCCAAGCCGAAATGTAGGAGTTACAGAACTTATAAATTCTTTACATCCTTGCGTATGATTATTATTAATTGTTGGGTTAATTCAAAGAAAACTCGATAACTTTTAAACCATGAACTGGATTTTGAAAATTCTGCAAATTTTATGGGGCTTAGATATTAAATTATAACATAAAATTTACAGAGCCTTGGTCACTTGTTTGAAAAGAAACATATAGAATATCTGAAGTCGACAAAAACAAGTTAGCTTGTCTAAATGTAAATCGACAAAATATAAATTTTATATTTCTGAAATGAAAAAAATAATTTCGTAATTGTAATGCACTTGATCAGCTTTAAAAAAAAACCTTCGATGTAGAAGATCCATAGAATAATGGCGGAGTTACAGAACTTTTAAATTTGGTGCATCATTGCGTATAATTATTATTAATTTTTGATGTATTTCAGAAATATGCTGATAACTCTTAAACCATGAGCTCGATTTTGAAAATAAAGTTATTTTTGTGGAGTCTATGTGTGAGCCTATAAGATTAAATAGAGAGCGCTATGAATTGGTTACCCAAGGAAAAATAAATAGATAGAAATGACTTGAATATCTAAATTGTAGAAAACAAGTTGGATTTTCCAAATGTAAATAGTGAAAATATGATTGGTGAATATTTTGTAATTGTAATACAATCGATCAGCTCTGGAAAGACGCTTTAAATTCTAAAATTCATTCAAAAATATCGGAGTTACAGAATTTTTTAAATCGGTGCATCGTTGCGTATGATTATTATTAATTTTTGGGTTACTTTAGAGAAGTTCTGACAACTTTCTAACCATAAGCTTGATTTGGAAAATAAAATGATTTTTGTGGAGCTGGGATATGAGGCTATAAGACATAAATAAAAATATACCTGGTCTTTTTTAATTTGCCTTTGAAAATGGAACTAATACTCGATTTTGAAAATTAATCTTAACCCTTATCAATGACTGCTAGTCAGTCCTGAGCGATTTTTTAGAAGAAATCGATATGTTTATATACTGAAATATTTAGAAATTATTACTTGCATTGTTTTTTTCTTTTTGAAATAAAAATAAGAAAAAATGGTTACGAAAAATTAAATAAAAATAAGTAAAACAAAACGGAATAGACATTCAATAAATTGTTTGATATTTCTAGCCCAATCAATGGAAACAAATACTTTGAAACATTGCACCAAATTTTAAAAAATGAAAGCAGTATTCATTTTAAAATCATGTCAATCTGGTCAAAAATCTTTTAGAAATTATAAATATAATTGTTATGTGTTGATAGATATCAATTCCCTCGAGGAAATTATTGCCAAATCGACAACCATTATAGCCATATTTTTTATTTGCTGATTTCTAAGGA